CATCTTAATTATTTTAAAGTAACACCTACCTGAAGTTGAATATAAACTCTTCAGGCTCCTGCTATAGAATACTTAGACTTTGGTCTGAATCAGTTACTGCCCCGTTTTTCTGTCTCATTATCATGTTTATCTAAGGTACCTGTTGTTTTTAGAGTACCTACAACATCCCTTTGTGGAACAAGTTTGCAAGTCACTTTACAATGCAAACTCTAACATAATACATGAATGTTTAATGAAGAAAAAAATCTTCCAGAATGCCTTCATTCTTCCTACCAGGAAGGCAGAGATCTAGATTACTTACAAAGTCTTAAGGGAAGCAACAGTTGTAATCACATACTTCTCTGAACATACATATCCTGCTATGGACAGTATAGGCAAAGGGATGTTTTTCTTTGCTCTACTCTTTCATTGTTGTCTGGCTGCATCTGGTTGACTTAGGAGCAAGAATCTCTTCTTTCACCCTCCTTGTAGAATTCAGTTTGGCAGTTTTTTTAATGTGGTCTTTCAAAAGTGCTCACTTTCAGTAGCGGTGAAATTGAACCAGATTGAAAATACTGAGCTGTTATGCTACAGAGGAACTAGTCTGCAGTAGTATCACACAGTTGTGCTGCATGCGTGTACCACGCATCCTTCCTGCTAGAACTGAGAAGGCAAATGGTACTTTGCAGGGGGAAGCAGGGAGAAGAATTGTTCAAGTTTTTAAAGTTAGTGGAGAGAATGTGAAATTTCTCCAGGTTTCTCACAAGGAGCACACTCGCTGTAGCACAAATTTGAAATGTACAAAAGCATACGAAGTCAAGCAACTGCTGAAGCTGTGTTGCTTCACAAAACGGACACTAAGAGAGTTAACAGGCATTACTAAGTACCATTTGCTGCCTTTCCTCAGTCTTAAGATATACAAGTACGCTTTCCCAATTTCTTCCTCTAAAAGAACCCATGTAGAGATGAGTACTATAGTGCCAAGAGCAGAAGGAAGAAAAAAGAGTTCTTTCCACTTTTGAAGTTTGTGTAATTAGCTTAATATTTTAATACATGTCTATGGCTCCATAGTACTTCTTGTTGTTGTTTTCAGAATTCTATAATTCCTGGACCCCCATTCCTCTTTGGAGCATGCTCTGTGCTGCTGGCTCTTCTTGTTGCCTTGTTTATTCCTGAACACACCAACCTAAACGTACGGTCCAGCAACTGGAAAAAACACTGTGGCAGTCATGGCCATCCCCACAGTCCACAAGCTCCTGGTGAAGCTAAAGAACCATTACTGCAAGACACAAATGTATGACAAAAAATCTAGGAAGACTTTTTAGAATTTTTCATCAGCAGTTTGGGATATGCATTCCATTTCTGTCAAAAATATAATTTCTTAAGGTAGTCTTAAGAAATATCTTTCTGCATGAAATTTGTAGGGATTGCAAGAAAACTGGAAGTTTCTCCAAAGATGTTACCATTAAATTAATAATTTGCTCTTGAAAAGAAAAAAAAAAAAGGTAAGCACTTGTCTTCTTGCCATGAAATACTGTTACTATTAAACTTTACATCCTAGTTCAGAGACATAAAAAAATAATAATATATATAGTCAACATATGAGCATGTGTCCTGTTTTCTTAAGGTAGTGAGCTTTAATTCTATTCATGCTAAGTCTCAATGAGACATACTAGCATCCATGTGGACCCATTCATTTTAATGTTGTAAAATCTTGGGTCAGATGATTCAAAGCCTTAATGTAAATGTACTCAAGTAAGGGAAAAGGTGAATTGGTACCACTTATTCTAGAAGTCACACAACAGATTTTTATGTTTGTACTAATATAAGAATCACGTGAACATGCTTGCTGAACAGTAAACGTTCTTTTTAATGTAAGTGCATTACTCTATTTTTGAATAAACGGTAATATCAAACATTGTTTAAATATTAAGTGGGTGTTTTGAGCCTACAACATTTTAATATTGGCTCTGAAACTCTGCTTTCCTAAGTACCGTTTATTGTATATACCACTGTATTTCTGATGTTTGCATAATTGTAAAGGACCTCAAAACTTGAATACACAACCTGAAATATAAGCTGATAGCCTTGAATACGTCAGTTGGCTATATAGTGGCCTTTGAGGACTGTCACAATAACCCTTTACTTTACAGAGCTAATGTTTTAGTCCTAAATTTTCAGGACCCTTAGTACAGAAGAAAGCTTTATACAATTACTGATGTGAATTTCTCTAAAAGTGTATATTTTTGTGTCCAGTTGTATTATTTAAGTGTTTCTTTGTATAAATTTGTGTATAAAGTATTGTATAGGTTTGAAATGTTTTCATCTTGTGGTTATTGCTTAATGCTTTTTTACCTTTGAACATTTACCATGGTTGACCAAGAGCAGGAAAAAAAATATGTAAATGTACTGTTAATAAAGTTGAATATTTTAATGAATTTTTAAATAATTGTTAATGGCTCTTGAAACCTTAATCAAAGTTATCTAATATGCATGCTATACTTTGTACTCCAGGCTTTTTTCACACCTGCTAAAGTCCAGTGTTCTATTTTTAGCTGTTTGTTAGATTACAGGATTGTGCCTATCACAGAGACTTTTCATTTCATTTAGCAGCGTAAACTGGCTGCAGATGTTTGTATTTCCCTCACAGAGCTATAATGGAATAAATTGTTTATACACATACATACATATATATAAACAGTCCACATAAACTAGTCAATAATAAACCTTTAGTATGCTGCAGTTTTGCACAACCCTTATACTGAAATTAATTTGTGTTGGTCTTTCCAGTCCTCATATTAATCTAAATTAATAGGACTGAGTTACAGAAAAAGATCACATCTTAATTACTAGAGTGCTGTTTGATAGCAGCTTATGGATTTCAAAATAAACAGACTAAATTCACATTCATTTATATTTACCATCTGCCTAAGATAGATAAAACTAGAAATAGTAGAAGTACAGACCTTAGATCAGGGTGGCTGTCAGCTGCAGACTGTACTGGCAGTACATCTCACAGTGCTGGTCTAGCAGTGCAGTATTGCATGGGGAAAGAATGAGCTGGGAAGTAAACTCCAGAGAAAGGTAAGGTGAATAAATAATACTATTATGAGACTTACTTCATATTGATATTTCACTAGAATGGAGATGTTAGTTTAATGTAACCAATTAGTTTAGAGTAACTAATTACAACAGAGAATTGATAAAAACCATTTAATATATCTACTTAAATTTGTACATCTCAAAACAGGTGCATATACATTAATGATCACTATATACACATTTTACACTGCAAAACAAGTAATTTAAGTACACCATCAGGTAGATACACTTAAAGATTTCATACTTTTCACCTTAGTTTGATATTTTGGAACTGTATGTATGTAAACAGTCTTTGAAAAATATGTATGTATTTTGGGCTTTAAAAAAAAAAAAAACTTGCATGCCAGTTCTTTATTGAGACACCGAATGAAAGCTAACAAACAGAATGAAGTTGTAACATGATTCCACTACTTAGGATCCTTGGTGTTAACCAGCTTATTTGCAAGCCTACATGAACTTACTTATTACTCAAATAACCCGTTTCTCAAATCAAGCAAGTTTTCAGAATAAAAATGGGGAGGGGGCAGTACTGTACATTAGTGCATCAGAAAAATGACAGTTTCATCCAGAAACTGCTGGAGAACTACTGCCTTATCCCCTCTCAAGTCAGTCAGTCAGGAGAAGTACTCGTATAGAAATACCTTTCCTAGCACAGAATGCCAGAGTATACAGTTCATCTGTTACAGAGCCACACTTGCCCATTCCTACAAGAACAAAAAAGTAATTGCTCTTACATGTTTTTTTTCCAGGAAGACTATAGGTTCTCTAATACCAAGCCAAAAGTCCGTGCAGGTCCCATGACTAACTACAGAGACGCTGCCTTTAAGGCTGAAAGGGCTTGTAAAAAGTTTAATCTTTCCTGCATTGCCTTAAAAGTATCCTGAAAGGTAATCCAAATTAGTCAAAATAACTTTCTGAAAGAAAGCCGAATCAGTCTTAGTAGAAGTCAGTTCACATTGATACATCACCTTTAAGGCGTTATTTAACATCTTAGTTCTGGGACATCCAAGAATCCCCTGAATGGGTTAAGAGAACTCTTCCTTTAAAACACTGTCTACTATCCAGGAAAATAAGCAGAGGCTGTTGTTACTGCTGCTTTTGGTGATGGCTGTGCTTTGGTTGACAAGTAGGCTTTCAAATACTCTGTCAAAGAGCAGAAATAAGATACTGTTCATAGAGCCATACTTATTGTCCGCTAAATACATTCAAACAAGGTTTTTGTTTTACTGTTTTCACACATACCTGAGTTAAGGGTATTTTGGCTAAGCCCTCGTAAAGGAATGCTGTCGTCTTTTTTCTTGAAGTACTTCGGTTCCAGCCCAAAATTATCACCACTAAAAATTAAAAATAAATAAATATGTAAATCTATAGTAACTACAGTTAGCAATGCATTAAAAAGTACAGATAGCGACTCAAAAAAAAAAATTACATAACTGGAAGTGGAACTGGTAAGTGCCTATGCACACCTAACGCTCAGAAGAAGCAAAGCATCACTGAGTAGATAAGAACAGCGTTCAACTACTGGCCCTTTGTGGCTTGTCTGTCACCTGATAGCCATAGACACAGCATCCCAAGGGACACAGAGCTTCTGTTCCTCAGGTCCTTCTCCTGAAAGCACAGACCTCAGCTTGACATCTATAAGCCAGGCTTAATAAGTAAGTAGTTCATTAACATGTCGCTGGACAAATGCAGTTCACAGAACTAGCGTCATAGTGCATGGTTTTTGCTCAGTTCCAGCTAGGCACAGAAGACAAAAGGCTCTATATAGAGAGAGGAGAGAAAAAGGAGGGGAAAAAATGATTACAACAGATAGCTACTCACTTCTCTTTATTTGCTGGATGACCAGTTGCAGTAGTCACTGTCTGAACATCTGCACATCGGTTCATTTTCGAAAGCTGTGCATTAAACTGAATCTGCAGAAAGGCAAGAGTTACAGGATAACTTGAGTATCTCCAGGTATGACAGTGCACCCGCAGGTACTCTGAGCACGGGCTTTGCAAGGGGATGAATGTTTCTATACCTTGCATAGCACTTGTGTACAGTATAGCATGAAGAAAAGCCCTAAAGCAGGCATTTGCTATTACTATTTAATAGCACTAAAACGTCAAGAGATGGAGTCCAGCAGAACTAGGATGTGCAGTAAATACGCATTTTGAGAACAATTCAAACATCACACTTTGAAATTTTATGCTATCACATTTCAGATAAACAAGAGTCATAATGCCTGCCTTTGGTCCTGGACATTGTGGATTGGCACTTTTGCTGCATGCTGGTTCAAGAAAGTTCTGGAATGCATACAGAGGAGAAACGGGATGACTGACTCCTGAGCTAGGAAAGGATGGTCGGTCAAGCTGCAAGAGAAATAGAAATATACGTTTAGAGAAGAAAGTAACAAGATGCTAAATAGTTTTCTGTAGCAGTTCAAAATTTCAAAATTAACTAACAAGTAGTATTTCATAAAAATAGGCAACAGGGCCAAAAGAACATGAAAGCATCTTTTTTATGCCACAGATTCCCGGAAGTAATCACTATGCTGTAACCACATGTTATTTATACTTGCATCTTACCATGCCTTGAGGTGAAATGCCAGTCCTAACACCACCATGTGGACTGCTAGAAGTCTCTAACTTCCTTGCCGTCTGAATTTCATTCAGCTGTTTGTTTAGCCATGTGATTACTGCGGGGGGTGGGGGGGGGGAGAGAGAAAAAAAAAAACAAACAACAGCAAGCTCACTTCCTACCTATTATACAAGCTGTTTAAAACAGCAAGTAGCCTGTCCTCAAAAAAGTGACTATTTAATCTGTTTTTTTTCCCTCTGTAAGCTCCAGCATCCCTAGAAGTCCTGGTCTCCTGAAAAGGCTTTTGTCCAAGCAGCTTCCCCAACACATGCCATTCTGTTCCCTCCTTTCCGTGCTAAGCTAAGCCAGAGGTAGCCCATGGCCAGAGGTAGCCCATGGCCAGAGGTAGCCCATGGCCAGAGGTAGCCAGCAACCCCCTAGCAACCACAGCCACCAACTGCAAAGAAGTATTTGTGCAGC